ATGGTCCGTAGAACAAGCGTTCAAGAGGTCAACGATCGCAGTCAGGAGGAAGAGGGCAGTCTGGGACGCTCCTTGGCAAGCATATACTCTATGAAAGCTTGCGGAGAAGCAAGGATGCTCGAGGAAGCCTCTGTCGCCATCCCCATTCGAGGCTCGATTTCGTTGATGGACCTCAGAAAATAAATATACCCACGTGGATTCAGGACCGGTGCGTCCATATTTTGCTGGTATCAGGTATCGAAGTCCTCCAGCGGATACGCTGACGGGAACCCTCTGGGGATGCCCCAGACAAAGCCCCACGGAAACCTTTTCCGTTCGTGCGGGCTTCACCCATTGAATGATATCTGAGTCGGCAGTCAACGGAGGTGTACGACGCACGTTTCGTCAGCCCGCGAAGCGCGCTGAGGAGTAGGTCATATCGAACACTTTTTCCGATTTCGTCCCGTGGTAGCGATCGGATGGGCATGTGGGCCTTGCTTCGTCGAACAATCGGAGAATTATTTGAGATCAAGCCTCAAACTCTCCGTTCGTATGCGTAATGACTCCTCCTCTCTACTCACTGAGTTAGATCATCGAGGTCTCCCCAGCTGCGAACCTTTGCGGTCTAACGACTGTCTAGCGATCAACGCCTCGATTTAGCCTCGCCACGAGTGAAAACACGAATCTCCTAATAGAATTACCGCATATTCATCGCAGCAAGGGGAGCGATTCTCAATTTTCACTCGGAAGCAGGTCGTTGCCTCGCTGTCAGGCGTAAAGGAATACAGTAGAACCTCGATTATATCAACCTCGATTATATCAACTCGACCAAAAATTACCTCGATTATATCAACCCTCGATTATATCAGCTTTTCCTGATTTACCTCGATTATATCAACCTCGACTATATACACTCCCCGCAAGACTCACCTCGATTATATCAACTCCTGCTTCCACCCTTATTTTCACAGCTTTTTCCCGGAGACTACCTCGATTATATCAACTTCTACTCTTGAATTCGCAGCTCGTTCTCGAAGACTACCTCGAGAATATCAAACCTTCCGGGTCGCCGGAGTTCGAATACATATCCTCATTTCGAGATTTACTGATTGATCGTTTTGATCGTGGAATGACCGGCCCCTCCTCATTCTTCTCAGTCAGTGTTCCACGATTCTCTCCGGTATGGCTGCCTTCGGGAGACGAGTTGATATTCAATATCTTCAGTGTCTCTTCCAATTTTGTTTACCTACCGGTTCGACACTTGACACATTCGTGAGAAGAATGCGATTCCAAGCGCGAACGGCTCGAGCATCTTTCTAGATCTCTCCACACCGAGACTCCGCGCCTCCTCCGAGACGCGACGTGGATTTCCTTTTGTGAGACAGCTTTCTCCGGCCGCTTCTCCTCTGAGTACTAGCTCAGCCCGACTCAGAGCGTCTTCTTCTCACCAACTTCAGTGATCACTCCTCTATCTCGAACCTTCTCAGTACTTAGAAGATGTTCGGGAGAAAATCGAGAAAAGTGTTGACTCTCCCCGAGAAAGAAGAAATTCTCGCCGCTTTGGACAAAGGTGAATCGCAAGTCTCATTGGCCGCAAGATTCGGAGTGGATAAGAGCACAATCTGCAATATCAAGAAGAATGCCTCAAAAATCAGAGAATACCAGCAGAATCGAGGTGAGCAAGGTGGATCCGCAGTAGCGAACGTGATGAAGGGAGCCGAGAACGATGTTCTGGACATGGCTCTTTACGTGTGGTTCATCCAGAAGCGCTCCTTCGGATTCCCGCTTTCGGGCGCCATCGTCTGCAGTAAGGCTCTGGAGCTAAACCAGAAGCTTGGAGGGAACGTTAGTTTCAAAGCAAGTCAAGGCTGGTTGGAAAAATTCAAGCACCGTCACGGAATCCGCGAATTGGAAGTACAGGGGGAAAGAATGTCCTCAGACTTCGCAGCTGCTGAGCGCTTCCTCGTCGAATTCAACACTTTTCTTCATAGCGAGGGTTTCGATCCAGACTTCGTGTATAACGCCGATGAGACAGGGCTTTACTACAAAGCCTTACCGAGTAGATCACTGGCAGCTCGGCATGAGCGATCAGCGCCGGGACACAAAAGCAGCAAGGAGAGAGTCACTGTGATGGTCTGTGCCAATACCACCGGCAATCATAGAATTCCCTTGCTCGTGATAGGGAAATCACAAAACCCGAGGTGTTTCAGGGGCAAAAGCATCCCAGTGAAATACCGAGGACAGAAGAAAGGATGGATGAACCGAGAAATTTTCACAGAGTGGTATGAGCATGTGTTCATCCCAGAAGTTGAAGAACATCAGTCAAACATCGGTAAAGGAGGGAAAGTGTTGCTTCTCCTGGACAATGCACCATCACACGCTCAAATTGAGCTCCTGGATAGTAGGAATGGTAAATTCACCGTCGTATATCTGCCGCCGAATGTCACTGCCATCCTGCAGCCTATGGATCAAGGGGCAATCGAAGTTCTGAAGCGGTTGTATCGGAAGCAGCTCATGCTCAAACTGTTTAGTAACGAACAAGATCGAAACGCGTTGCTCAACTTCAGCAAGACGATTGATGTCTACCAATGTTGTTACATGCTCGCCGAAGCTTGGGCTTCCGTTGAGGTCTCCACACTGCGGAATGTGTGGAACAAGCTAATGCCGCATCGCTTGGTGGGAACGCTCAATCCGATTCAAGATTTGCTGATGGGAACTCTCGAAGAGCACCTGCGTCAACTTCCAGGATTCGAAGACTGCGACTCGGCCGACGTGGAGGCGTGGTTAACTTCTGACTGCGGAGAATCAGGTCAGCAGATTTTGACGGATGATGAAATCATCGAAGAAGCTCGTGCCGTTTTCTGTGAGGACCAGGACTCTCAAGAAGAGTCACAGGAAGAAGAGCCCTGTAACATTCCGCCAACGGCAGAGCAGGCCGCGGAGGCCTTCGATACTGCTCTCCGCTGGTTAGAGTGTCAAGAGCGATGCGAACCAACTGATCTTGTTCGACTCTCTAGTCTTCGCGCACTAGCTTCGACGCACGGACGAATCTGAGTGGTCGACGATGGAGCTTTTTCCCTCTTTGTATCTCCCTGTGTATTATCCAGGATGAAAAATCAATAAACACGATCGCGTTGAAATCGTCTTGTCTTTTCGATACCCGATAAGCCGATCATCAATCTGTCGCTCAATCCTCCAGGTTAATGATTCGTTCATGAAAGTCCTCACAAGGATTTCACTCGCTGCTTCCGCCTAATACGGACAAAAATGGCTTCGAAATCGACGATTGCAATGAGAAATCCAGGCTTATTCTCCCTCACAATGTATTCCTATGGAACCTCGATTATATCAACCCTCGATTATATCAACCGTTTTTGGCAGTCATTAGTTGATATAATCGAGGTTCTACTGTAATTTCAGACCATGCCGCCCCCTTCTTCGCGATTGGTTTCGCGCAAGGCGTCAGGGGGGGAAGGAAGCTTTCCCGAATTCGCCTTTCCGCGGATTCGAACGTGTGTGGGTTCAGTTTGAAATTCATGCATGAAGCTCACTGGGTATGGTTGCGAGACGGAGGGATCGGCATCGCCGAGGCGAAGGTAAAATCCGAGAAAAGCTCTTTGAAGGTTGGCATGAATTTCGGGATGGAAAGCACTTAGGGCTGGAGGAGTAGGTGTTTCTGGATTCGTGTCCGTGAGCGTATAATCTTCGTTCGACTCCTTCGTGAGAGTCCGCAAACCGTAATAAAACGTAAGTTTCCAAATCGTGCGATCCTGAAGTCTCAGAGAATCGAACGGACGCCCTCCTGGACGAACGTGAGCGGAGCTATCTATCGGTACGCTAGATATGAATTCTGTGGTGAACGTGAGCAAGTAAAAACCACCGATCTTCTTGAGGAAGTCTGAATAAGAAAGTTTGACAAGCTTCTCCTTTAAGGGCGTATCGTCGGTCGAGTCTCTATAGGTTAGTCTACCCGACGGCTTCTGGGTCGGTCTGGCGGCGGTTCGGTGTGTTGCACGCACGATCCCTCGCCGCGAACGTCAGTTCCCCGCATTTTTTGCACCAACTCATGAAATTAAACACACACAACAGGGTAATCATCTTGAAGTGCCCCGCGCCGCGTGTCATCGCCGTCGTCGTTCCGCTCGTAGTCATATTCCATCGCCTTACTCCTCTCCCTTGCTTATTTTCGAGAAATTCCGCTCGCTAAAATTGCTCCCCGGCTTCTCGGAAGAGGCAGATGTCTGAATCCGGGGCGAGGATCTCTTCTCTCCAAACAAACTTATAGTGAAACTTCTGATTCTCCTCTCGTGCATATTTTGATACGTCGCGCGTCGCTTTCAACCCTTCCAGACAGTCGGGCCATATATTGTCACGGAAGATCGACTGGAGTTGTTCCGCTTCTTTTTTTCCTTTTGAGCTTCCGATCGTGCCAAGAGATATTGCGAGAGATATCGAACAGCTGAGAATCCCGGGATTCGTGTCGGATTGGAAAACCTCTGTCATCCCTGGTTCGCCTCGCGCCTCACCTACGCACACGAATTCTCTCGTAGGATCAATGTGATGTTGAGCTGCACTCTCCCGGCCTTCGACACGGGTCTCATCAAAGCGTTGAACGAACATCGGTGAAAGACAGCAGAGGGTATGAATAAATTCATATCAAGACCGATATGATGGATTGTTCGTCTAGGCCTCGATCGCCGAGCAGAGACTGGCTTCGAAAATGCCGCTCGCAGATGATGAAGACTTTGAGTGTTCGTGCGAAAAATGTTTTGTGTTATACCGCCTCTAATTGCCTAGTGTCGGAACCATGCGTCGCCCCCGCATTACACGATCTACTATTCTCTGACGAATACTAAAGGAATACGGAGCACAGCGGCTCGGAACGACGAGCCGAGGCCGTGGAAGCCACAGACCTTTTTTTGAAAATCCTGAGCAGTACCACGTTAAACACTGCGAGACAGCAACCCCAAGCTCCTCGGCGAATAGCCTACCAAGGTAGAGATGCGAGACGTAATACTCACCGCCGTAGTTTGGTCTCACTCTTTTGTCGTATCCTCGGATGAAAAAGTTGTCCAGAATTAAGCTTACGTTACGCCCTCGGGACGTTTGCCTGGAAAGAGCAGTCGTTGAACTTTTTGTGAAAAACATCGGATGTTCACAGCTCAGCGTCGCAGTCTCGGGATAATCTAGAGCGCGACTTCTCGCTTGCAATGAATGTCAAGAGTTCCCGTGGTAAACAGAATCGCTACCACGAGCGCCGGCCGAGAATCCGACGGGATCATTTCTCATTCTGGAAGAAGTCATCGACACTCTTGGATATTTCATATAGATCCATGACCCCCTCGACCGACAGAATCGGTTTCGTTTTACCAACACTCTTCCGCTCGACTCGGGGGTAGGAGGGATAGCTTGTTGGGGAGGTTTGGGAATCGCTACGGAGGAGATGAACAAGAGCGGTTCGAGCTCTGCATGGCTGGGTGGATTCCTCTTCAGAAGTTTTCGTCGCAATCATCTAGAATCTCCCGGGCGACATCAAGTCATAGTCAACTCGAGATCGCGTTCCGTGAGAGCAGCCACTATGTGAGCTTCAAGTTGGCGCAAAAAGTTTCTGTTCATATTAGACGGGGTAAACTCCACTTTAATTGAGTAGCATGCTAGTCTCGTCGCTCTCAAACCCAAAATCGTAGTCGAGCGACCTTCTCTAGAACTCCGTGGGCGTCTCGCCAAACCTCATTCAGAGCTCGTGATGATCGAGAGCGTCAAAAACCACCTTTTATCGAAAACCAGCGAAGACGAAGATAATCAATTATTTCCCTCAGCCACTCTCGGGCGTATAATTGAACAATGCTCAAAAACTTCATCGAGGTCATATCCCGAAAACATGATTTCCGTTGCTCAACACCGTTGTGTCGCCAGGTTGCTTCTCCGTGGACGAATCGCCTTGCGGCAATGATAGCGATGATGACAGTGACACGTCGAACATTACAATGCAAACTCCTGTTACGACACTTTGATGGATTAATTTTTATGAGGGATCTTTTACGATCTGCCCAGCCGGTACCTCACAAATTATTAAAAACCTTCCCGTCGAATGGACACTACACGACACGTCAAGATCCGCTGGGCAGCCGATTAAGTCGAGATATTCGGTATTGACATGCCAATCAGGATTGGACCGATAGCGAGAATCGACAGTCTGCTGCCCGGGGAAGAGCGTCTCCCCAATGAGGTGATTGTCACGCGTCAAGCAGTCTTCCAGCCGTCTCTCCTTTTTTGTCACCCGATCCGGCTCCTCCACTTACATCGAATTGAGTCTTGCTTGATAAGATTCACCGCGGCAAGAGTTCCCGGATATTTGAATGAGAGTCTCCGGGGAAATAGCTCCGCAGCGAATTTCGAATTTTTCTCCGACTCTGCAGTCGCTCTCCCGCAATTGAGGTTTTCTCAGTGAGGGGCCGTAGAACCCACGGCGACCGGATCGCTCACTTGATTCCCACGATCCAAGATCAATGAGAAGGCTTGGATAAGAGCTGAAGTTTATGTGTGCTTCTGCAGGGAGGTGCACGATCGCAACTATAATCATACATGATGTACCGCCCGCTGTCTGAACTCTGTGTATACGTTAGTCGGGATCTCGGAGGGAAGACCATTACGCCGCGGAGGCCACGTAGCCTGGCCGACCGGATCCATTCGGCCCTTGTTGCGGTAGTAATCATTCAAGCGATTCCGGGAGACTTCACAGAGAATCCGAGTAGGTCATCCAAGACTCTGAGGTGTTTCACGCTTGGGATCCCACGGATCGAGAATAGCCGTTCGGAACGGCAAGCCCGAATCGAGGCTGGCTTCTAAAATAGATCTGTTTTCGATTGGACCCTCACCGATCATCAAGTCTGACGGAGGCGTAACCTTGGGCTTTATTCGAAGGCGGGTACGGCTCTGGAAAAATCCGACGCCAAAGCCGGGCCGCGCCAGTCGGAATCCAGAGCCAGCGCTCGGGGTTGGCACCCACTCCGAGCATCCAACGAGTTCCTTCGTACCGAAGCGCGTCCACGAAGGGAAGTGCACGAGAGCGACGGTTTGGAGCGCAATTGGAACGGCGGAGGCGGCGGAAAAAAAGATTCGAGAACTGAGGTTCAGATCCCAAGAGCTCCCCGCTCCCAGAGCGAATCGTAACCGAACGAGGGTTGTGTGTCCGTGACGCGCTCACGTGCTGGGACGTCTAGCAAAGTAGGGCACGAGGTCACGCCAGCACCCGAGGTCGGCGTGTCTGCCACTTTGCCAGCCCGCCCGGCCGCCAGCCGATATGAGCTCGCATCAAAACGTCGCCGTGGCGGTCCCGAATCTCGGTGAATGACGAGCGGTCCGCAGAGTTCGCCCGCGCATACCGGAGCGTATGCACGACGGTAACCCACTCGGACCGGAGCTGTCTTCCTTTCCTCGACGTTTCTCTCAAATGCCCGGGGAATCTTTCCGAGTCTATTCATTCCTCTGGCTCGGAGCGCACTTCGCTGTCCTTGGAGCCGTGGTTCGTTCATCTCAGCGGTACTCGTGTTGCTCTTCGGGATTCACGGGAAAAGTTCCGGCTCCCACGGAGTCCCACACGGAAGGTGGACAGATAGTCCACGCCCGTGGGACTCGGTCATTCCATTCCCGAAAAATAATTGCTAACCACAGCCAAAAAAACTGTACACGAGCTCGAGAGCTGGGTATAGGGACACGTGACACGACGTAAGTCGGAATCCTTGAGAGCCGCTTACCGCTGGGACTCGATCGGCAAGCTCGTAAAAATGGATTCGCTCGTCGGTTCCCCCAGGTTTCCGCAGCGTATTCGACGGGGCTGCCTTGGTCGTCACGAATCGAATTGCGTGCGGGTTGCGGCCAAGCGGATATAGGGATCCTGCAGCTGAAAGCAGCCTCCTGGTACTTAGCGAGCTAATCGACGCAATAATTGCGCGACGCTTTTAGTCTAATTGGTCGAGTTGCTCATTCTCGGCCTGCCGCTTCGTGAAAAATACACTTGCCGCGCCGCGGGAGAAACAAGGGGTTTTCCTCTTGTTCTCTCGCGTTATCTTCTCTTCAATCGTTGCGTAGCTCCGTCCGGGTTCTCGGTTTTTCTTTGGGCGGCTTCTGCAGATTCACCTTCAGAATCTTCTGTCGATAGATACTCGCGGATGTATGCGCATACCGTAAGTTCACTGACGAAGCTGATACATCGATTTACTTCAGCGCAAGCGGAGCCCTTGCCTCACCGTATGACGAGCAGCGTTCGAAGCCAGTCAACGGAGTGCCCCGAGAACAGATTCAAGTTTCGAATTCATATCCGGACTTTAATTTCTAAACAAACGCGACGCGAGGTAGACCTTGTTGACCAGGCTCGACTAGGATATCGATCGCTTCCGAAAATGAGGTGAGCATTTCGAGTGAGGCCTATCCGCGACATGTCGGAAGTTCCGTCGCCCGGGTAGCTGAGCGCGGTCGTTCATGTGAGCGATGGCGGGAATCTCGACGCTAGCAGGATCGGTCTCCTACGGATCACCCTTGGAAACCTCTCGTACAAGAAGAGCCGACGCAGGTGATTCTCTGAGTGAGGTAATCTCCGTCGCGTCGCTAGATGGTCGGGAGGCTGCGGCAGACGGGCTTCCGCAGTGAATCTTATGGAATGGGCTCGACGACAGTGAGAGAACAGCTAGACACCTTTTCGGGTTTAGGAAGAAAAGAACGAGGATTCGATGCAGTTCAATTCGCTCGTGCGTTCCTCGAATGCGGTGAATAATATATAGGTCCCTCACGAGAAGAACGCCGGCCCGGTGAACAGGCAGACGAATGAGCGAGTTCCCCGCCCAGCCGGCTGCGAGGAAGACAGTCACCGAGCCCGACAGCCGCGTCGTCTTCTAGCGGCAAGCACCGCTTGAATCTCCCTCGGAATGGGGTCCGAGGAAAGCAATTCCGATTCACAAGTCGAATCCATGAGTATTCCTCGATGTTGCATGTGTCTCGGGGACAAATATTGTATTTCTGCCTAGCTGCTCCTCACTTCGCCGAGCCCTCGCTCGATCTCGGCACCTCGCTCCACATGTCCTGAGCCGGTCGTCATGGTCCTGCATCAGCACTGCGGAACTCGCCCGAAGGGCAGAGGACCCTGGAGAACATTCATGAGTCCGAAACAGCGTCGATGGAGCGATTCGGGATCGCATGGGACCACCGCGTAGACCTCGCGGTTTAACGTCGGTCCCGATGCCTGGAACTTCCTCCTCCCTGGACGATCTCCGCCCTCCCCCGACAGGCGCGATTTCTCATTCTTCCGATCCCCTCCCTTCTTCGCGACGCACGGAAAGCCCGCCGGATACCCACCGGATCCCACTCGATGGGAATACGTAGCTCGTCCGCTGGATAGACTTTCGAGATGCTATATCTTCCACAGCGCATGAGCTCACTTCCGTCGCCCGGGAAATTTTTCAGTCGGCTCCGCGGATTTCAGCGGGACCGGTGAGAAGAATGTTCGAGTGCGACCTCCATGCGGGGCATTCGACGAGGAGAGGAAGTCGCTGGTGATTTGTTCAAGTTGCTGCACGAATCTGGGAGTTGTCATCTCAGTTCAAGGACACGCGCCAGTCTCTGTAGCGTGGGAACGTGCCGAAAAAGTCGTTTTGACTGCATCGCAGATAATTGAATGCGCCCAACAGGAGCATGACTTCAATCGCGTTGAGTGCCGCCGCGCCTCACTCCCGCTTTGTGCCTCAGTATCCCTCCGTCCGTCAGCCTCCGTGATTCCGGCACGTCTTCTCTGAGATCACACTCTCGGCCAGGCTCCCTTCTCCAGCGTCGTGCCGATCTCATGAATTTTCGAGTCGACCGCGATGACTCCGAATGTTCTCGCGCTCCTCGGTCTATGCTAACAGATGAGCTCCCTAGACTGGCAGACAATTTATCAATACACTAAGCACAATCCGTGGGCGAACGAACTTCTCTCCATCCAGCGGAATGACGTGTTCGCCGAGACTGGATACTTATAATCGTTTGATTGATTAGAGTTCCGCTCTTCCCGGTACACGCAATCCCGCAAACAATGACGCATGCATACGTACGCACCCATATCCGACGTCGACGGGCGCCGCGATGCGAGTTGTTCGCTTCCGTCTTTCCGTACAATCGGAGGAGCATTTGATTTTATCCACGTTAAATTTAAGCCTCCCCGAGAATCGAACACCAACGCTGCAACTATGACCAGAGCTCGTCATCATAACCATATCCTATCCGAGGTTGCTCAAGGAGTCATGTAGGACGTGTCGGAGATATCGGTATTGAGGTCATTGTGAGCCGATCGTCGAGTATTTTTAGGAGAAAAAATCTGTCTTAGAAGTCGGCCCCTTGAAGCAAATCCCGATGGGCTGGTCGCGCGGTTATGCAGAGATTTCTCGTTCGAACCCTCGAAATCACGGTGTTGTAAGCTCGCTAGTGAGCACAGGAGAGCAAACGCAGAGGGCGGATGGGGCGGAGGGACGGAAGGACCGGGGTGGTACTTTTTTTTCGGAGTACTTTTACCACCAAGCGAACCGAGGCGGCCGCAGCACCACCGCCGAAACCTCAAACGACCAAGTTAGTAATCCAAGTCTTCGTGCGTACGTAGGTCCCTTCCAATTCACTCGAGTGAGTAAGCTTCTCGCCCCCGCCCAGCCGCAGAACTCAAGCGGCCGCAGATCCTACCCTATGTTCCCCTGATTCTTACGTGCGCTCAGCATAAGTGGATTGCCAGGTAGATCCGCCAGGTGGAAGCTTTATGAGCCGGCTGTGATTGGATTTAATCAATCATCTTGAAAATACCTCTGATCGACCTTCGGCTCCCTGAGCCGTGTGGTAGCAGACAAGCGACCGACGGACGAACGGCCAACATAGCCCCCTCCTCCTCCTCCTTAGACGACTGGGCGGTTCTGAGAGCTTCGGGTCGACAATGAACTTCAAAGCGACTCCGCGATTGAGATCGAACAGGCGAACATGACCGAGACTCCACTCCGAACCCAATTCGGACTCTCGTTAGAGGACAGCTAGGGTATCCCGAAAAGGGTCCTCAAAACAGTGGGATCGTGTCGAGGATTGATACGGGAGTCGCGCATGCCATCCTCCCCCATGGGAAATCCAGATCGGGGAGGAGAAAACGTTTTGCAGGGTGGAATCCCAGATGTGAGACTCTCGAAGTCAAAGCACGAAGGGGAAAACCTTGGACTTGGGGCTCCGAGCAGACGTGAGCTCACTTCAGACACTCATAGGTGACAAATGCTGCACCTGCGCGTTGCACATGGATGTATTCTTATGAAGACGCCGGTCCCCATAGCCAAGGGTGTTGATCGCATGACAATCAGCCGTTCAGACTCCCTCTCGCAGGGGAGGATTCTTCGAAAATGCGAACAAGGTTTTCCGGTCAGAGGTAGGGTCCTAGCTCATAGTGCATGATATTTTCCTCCGGTACTCACCAGGTTCCATCCCCTGAAACCGAATCCCAGTGCAGGGACTACTCATCAGGAAATCTAGACTGGAGGTCCAGCGCTAACCGGCGTCTATGACAGCGACACAACCCGGCCGGCCGGATATTCTATGTCGTCTATACTACGCGGAATTTCACCGGGACACCTCGACGATTGCGGAGCGCATTGAGATATCCTGCTGGACAACTCCTCGAGAACCGAACTCCGTTAGGGGAACGCGAGGAGAAGTTCATCGAGTATGTCACTAGCAATCTCAATGATTCGCGAGCGTGTTGGAGCCACCCCCTTGTCCGTTTTGCTTTTTGATCCCAGCAACTTGAACATGCCGAGCTTTCCCGCTCACTCAGGTCACCGCGCTTTCCGACGGGAAAGTGATCTCGAAGCATCAGGCTGGAGCCGATCGATCCGCTCTTCCTCGGAACATTTCACATCTAATTTTTCTCAAATCAATGCAATGCTCGGCCCGAGGGTCAGTCTGCATTGACTTGCAAACCATTGCCCGGGGCGCAAATTCGCATTCTCACAAACCCGGATCAGGAATCAGCGATTCGCGCTCTCGCAGTCTCATCGATACGGAATGCGAAGCTGGGATATCGGTATTCATCCCGAACATTTCAGAATGACCCGCCTGCCGCTGTGACGCAAAATAGAGAGCTCTGTCCCGTTGGTGTTTCGTAAGCCCAGAACGTAGCCCGGTAGTTAATGGAAAAGTCTGAGATCACTCCGTTGTCAGGACGCTCCTGAGCACATCGCCAAGGGACAGAGGTATCGTCAGGAAGTCGCGGCTAGAGCATGATGCAGGCGTTGTGGGGCTCTCGAAATGGTTCGATGAGAGGAGCCTGAGAGTGACAGAAAGAAGAAGCGTCCGTTAGCAGGGACCGGGTTCAAAAGTGAGTGCTCCCGTAGATTAGCTAACAGTGGAGATCACAGGAGCATGTAAGCGAGCCCACCAGTCAGTCGCTTGGCCAGCAGACCGGAGCAGCGGGTATTTGCGCTGGCGAGAAAGGAAACTTTCGTATTGACGGACACCGCAGTCGCCGTAATGTTGTATTATTGATTAAGCGAGTTGCCGACTTCGTCCATAAAACTCTAATGCCCTTCTACTACCACTTCCACAACCGCAAGGAAGCTCAGCGAGCCTCCTCCGGCAGCAAGAGCGGCCGAGCAGGTGGAGGAGGTGCAGCTGCTGCCGCCACAGCCGGTAGACCTTTCGAGTGTATTCATCATCACTTACGAAAAGGAGGAGGAACGAACGAGCAGTCACACAGGCCGGTTGCCTGGCTCGCCTGCCAACCGGTCGGTCGGTCGGCACCCATGCCGGCAGTCAAAGTAAGCGTAAGATAAGATTAGCGCGTATGCGCTAACTGGCAAGTCATTACAGGCCTCCTTTTCGCTGTCTCGTCCTCCTCGTTAGTCAGACGGGAGTCGGACATAACGTCACCTGCAACGACAACACCGACCACCCCGAATACGACGACGACGAAAGGGGACGGAGGTTTCCCTCTTGATCGTTTCTCTCGTTTCTCTTCGTGCGGTGAGTCGTCTCGCGTACCTCGAGAATTCAAACGCGTAGAAGTTTTCGACCAAGGCAACGCATCAGAACATTCGGGATCAGAATCGAATCGAGCAGTCCGCGAGGCTTTCCGGATGGCGCGGCGGTGGGCCCACGGATGGCCCCGGACCTGGGAATGATCGCTGACGGATGAGGGAGCGAGCTGAACAACGGGAAATTAGTCGATCCCCATATCGCTCGTTGGAGAATCTGCGCGCCAGAGGAAGCTGAGAAGGAAGCGTCCCGCACTTGCTCTGGGGGGGAGGCTGGGGAAATCGGCAGCCAA